GACCTGTAGGGCATTTTGCATTTTCGTGTTTTTTTCTCTTTTTTCTTCTCTTGCATTTCACATGTTTTATTTCAGATCTACACTGCAAAAAATAAATAAAGGGAACACTTAAACAACACAATGTAACTCCAAGTCAATCACACTTCTGTGAAATCAAACTGTCCACTTAGGAAGCAACACTGATTGACAATACATTTCACATGCTGTTGTGCAAATGCAATAGACAACAGGTGGAAATTATAGGCAATTAGCAAGACACCCACAATAAAGGACTGGTTTTGCAGGTGGTGACCACAGACCACTTCTCAGTTCCTATGCTTCCTGGCTGATGTTTTGGTCACTTTTGAATGCTGGCGGTGCTTTCACTCTAGTGGTAGCATGAGACGGAGTCTACAACCCACACAAGTGGCTCAGGTAGCGCAGCTCATCCAGGATGGTACATCAATGCGAGCTGTGGCAAGAAGGTTTGCTGTGTCTGTCAGCATAGTGTCCAGAGCATGGAGGCGCTACCAGGAGACAGGCCAGTACATCAGGAGACGTGGAGGAGGCCGTAGGAGGGCAACAACCCAGCAGCAGGACTGCTACCTCCACCTTTGTGCAAGGAGGAGCAGGAGGAGCACTGCCAGAGCCCTGCAAAATGACCTCCAGCAGGCCACAAGTGTGCATGTGTCTGCTCAAACGGTCAGAAACAGACTCCATGAGGGTGGTATGAGGGCCCGACGTCCACAGGTGGGGGTTGTGCTTACAGACCAACACCGTGCAGGACGTTTGGCATTTGCCAGAGAACACCAAGATTGGCAAATTCACCACTGGCGCCCTGTGCTCTTCACAGATGAAAGCAGGTTCACACTGAGCACGTGACAGAGTCTGGAGACGCCGTGGAGAACGTTCTACTGCCTGCAACATCCTCCAGCATGACCGGTTTGGCGGTGGGTCAGTCATGGTGTGGGGTGGCATTTCTTTGGGGGGCCGCACAGCCCTCCATGTGCTCGCCAGAGGTAGCCTTTATTTTTTTGAGCAGAGTATATTACTACCTTTATTGTGCATTGTCGGGAAAGAGCTCGCAAGTTAAGCATTTCCCTGTACTGTTATACACATGTTGTATCCTGTGCATTTGACAATAAAACTTGAAACCTGAAACTCCTTCACTAAAAAGTAGCCTATACAGGCTTAATTTTCCAAATATATATCATCCTGCAGTGAAAGCAGAAACAGCATACATTTTAGGTAAGTTTTCCTTTGGGATTAACACCAAAGCATGCTTATGCTTATAATAAAGTACATCCTGACCAGCAGTGCATTCTATAAATCATGACTGTAGGCCTATGGTTCACATGAAAGTGACCCCTATACTCTTGACAAGAAGATTAATACTTTTCCTGGAACAATGATCATGTTCTTTTTTTATCCCAACTGTTTTACCATCATTTCTTACAAAACATTTAGTTTCACAATAAACAGAAACTCATACACCTGAAGTTACTGCCAAATTTTGAGATGGGGTTAAAAAAATTCTCCATGCTTTTTGTTCATGGAATTTTTCTTCCTAAGACATTGTTGAGCAATATGTCAAACAGAAGTTGTGTTCCCATGGACATCACTTTTCCCACATTATACAGAATTGTACAGTATATTGCGTAGCTTTTATAGTTTCTAAAGTTCATTAGGGCACAATTTTTTGGGCTAAGGATACCAACAACATTATTGGATGGCAACATATTTCTCACTGTGATATTTGATTTAATTGGCTATATGTAAAGTATTGACTTTTCTATGGATGCAAATGGATCATAGAATCACATTTTTTAAGAAAACTATCAAAGATAAACAAGACTGGGCGAATTAGAGCATATAACTGGCAGGAAGTCATATTTTCAAGTTGAATAGAAGATATTTACACTTTTATTGTGTCTCAATAACACTTTGCGAAAAGGAGTTACAAGTATTTTCCCAACTACCCATTTGATTGTGGGGAAGCTATTAAAATGAAATATGAATCAAGTTCAGGGTCATCACATTGTGGCTTGTCTTGTCAATATATATATTTTTACAAGTAAGATGGTCTCTAAAGGAAAGGGGTGCATTGATTTTAAATCCAGACTGATGGGACAATTACATTTCAGCACATTATTCAAGTCCCTAAGCAATGTTTTATTAATGTGCATTAACACAAAGAAAAACTGCCACCCAAGACATCATAAATATAATTTTCTTGCCTCAGCCCATATGTATTGTTATACAGTGGGGAAAAAAAGTATTTAGTCAGCCACCAATTGTGCAAGTTCTCCCACTTAAAAAGATGAGAGAGGCCTGTAATTTTCATCATAGGTACACGTCAACTATGACAGACAAAATGAGATTTTTTTTCTCCAGAAAATCACATTGTAGGATTTTTAATGAATTTATTTGCAAATTATGGTGGAAAATAAGTATTTGGTCAATAACAAAAGTTTCTCAATACTTTGTTATATACCCTTTGTTGGCAATGACACAGGTCAAACGTTTTCTATAAGTCTTCACAAGGTTTTCACACACTGTTGCTGGTATTTTGGCCCATTCCTCAATGCAGATCTCCTCTAGAGCAGTGATGTTTTGGGGCTGTCGCTGGGCAACACGGACTTTCAACTCCCTCCAAAGATTTTCTATGGGGTTGAGATCTGTAGACTGGCTAGGCCACTCCAGGACCTTGAAATGCTTCTTACGAAGCCACTCCTTCGTTGCCCGGGCGGTGTGTTTGGGATCATTGTCATGCTGAAAGACCCAGCCACGTTTCATCTTCAATGCCCTTGCTGATGGAAGGAGGTTTTCACTCAAAATCTCACGATACATGGCCCCATTCATTCTTTCCTTTACACGGATCAGTCGTCCTGGTCCCTTTGCAGAAAAACAGCCCCAAAGCATGATGTTTCCACCCCCATGCTTCACAGTAGGTATGGTGTTCTTTGGATGCAACTCAGCATTCTTTGTCCTCCAAACACGACGAGTTGAGTTTTTACCAAAAAGTTATATTTTGGTTTCATCTGACCATATGACATTCTCCCAATCCTCTTCTGGATCATCCAAATGCACTCTAGCAAACTTCAGACGGGCCTGGACATGTACTGGCTTAAGCAGGGGGACACGTCTGGCACTGCAGGATTTGAGTCCCTGGCGGCGTAGTGTGTTACTGATGGTAGGCTTTGTTACTTTGGTCCCAGCTCTCTGCAGGTCATTCACTAGGTCCCCCCGTGTGGTTCTGGGATTTTTGCTCACCGTTCTTGTGATCATTTTGACCCCACGGGGTGAGATCTTGCGTGGAGCCCCAGATCGAGGGAGATTATCAATGGTCTTGTATGTCTTCCATTTCCTAATAATTGCTCCCACAGTTGATTTCTTCAAACCAAGCTGCTTACCTATTGCAGATTCAGTCTTCCCAGCCTGGTGCAGGTCTACAATTTTTGACAGCTCTTTGGTCTTGGCCATAGTGGAGTTTGGAGTGTGACTGTTTGAGGTTGTGGACAGGTGTCTTTTATACTGATAACAAGTTCAAACAGGTGCCATTAATACGGGTAAAAAGTGGAGGACAGAGGAGCCTCTTAAAGAAGAAGTTACAGGTCTGTGAGAGCCAGAAATCTTGCTTGTTTGTAGGTGACCAAATACTTATTTTCCACCATAATTTGCAAATAAATTCATTAAAAATCCTACAATGTGATTTTCTGGAAAAAATATTCTCAATTTGTCTGTCATTGTTGACGTGTACCTGTGATGAAAATTACAGGCCTCTCTCATCTTTTTAAGTGGGAGAACTTGCACAATTGGTGGCTGACTAAATACTTTTTTCCCCCACTGTATGTAATATTAGACAATATTTGATTGCAATTCAATGCTTCCTATTTGCTTGTAATTAACTTGTGATTCACTGCAGCTTCAACAACAATGTAAGCTATTTTTGACATAATTGCTTGGGTAAAGATCAGGCATTGGATCTTACATAAACACACAGGCTGGTATTCAATCAATTGCAGACAGTGGGTTTACAGACAGTTCTTTCAGTGCTGTTGTACAAAATATATTCAAAGAGGAGTCTGTGTGTGGTCTGCATTTTCTTGGTTCGAAGGATGTAGTTGATTTTTACAGTTGGTAAATGACTAAAACAAGTCCTGATCCTGTATACTGAGTGCTGGCCCGGCTCCCTGAACCTCAGATCATTCTATAATAGGAAGGAGGGGCCCCATGTAAGCCCTCTTGAGAAGGAAACAGTTCCACAGTTTGTCACTCATCTTTTCACTGGACTGAGCAAAGAAAAACAGGACAGTGGCATTCGATTGTGACTCTTAGTGTTCAAATTGTACCTCTTCCCAGCAATTGTAAAACATACTGTACTACTAGTTGTTATGCGAGAGGAGGTGTGGCTGATTTGAGGTAACAGGATTGGTGGCGAGGTGAATTAGGTATCATATAGCAGCTATAAAACAGCCAAGGGAACTCAACAAGGACATTTCTGCGGAGATACTTTGTAAGTTTTGAGGAGCTTATTTGTGGCATGTTCTGCTTTGTTGATGTGTGTACGCTTCTTTGTTGAGTGGTTGTCAGGATTGTTTATATGCTGACCTAGTGCTTGTTTACATCCTTGCCTAATGCTGAATTCATACTTCACAAACTTTCGGACTAATACTGTAAACATTATGTACTTTAACATTTCTAACTAATTAAAGACGAGTTTATACAGCTGGCTCAAGAGACAGAGTTTGGCGTAATCTGATTGGTTGTTGATTTTTTAGAACATGGTCAGTTTCAGCCAAACAAATGATAGCTGGAGAAAACAGCTGAAGACATCTGGATCTGGTTTATTTGTACCAAGAAGGAAGTGTTTGTAATCAAGGGGTCAGTGTTGAGGTCTAGAATGGGAACATACTGGTATTGTAGAAAGGGTGGTCTCAGTACAAACATCACGTTGACAATGTGGAGGTATTAAAAAGAGAAAGTTTCACTTGCTTTACATCCTGTCCTGTTCTTGCAGCAGACCATACAGCAGCAGTGACACCATGAGGTTCCAGGCTCTGTTCTTTCTCCTGCTCCTGGCATGCATGTACCTCAGTCTGGCTCAAGGTAGGCACCATTAAACAATCTAAGGAATGGTATTCATATTCTGTAGATTCATTATTATGAAGTTTATGTTCACTGAAATTGGTGTAACAGTGTAAAGCAAGCCTATCATGTGTTTTCATTTATTCCCAGTACTTCTTGTAATTTACATATTGTTGAAAATCTACTGTACATAGTAGCCTATACTCCACATTTTGTACACTTAATGCATTGTTGTGTCTGGAGGTATAGTAAACCTCATTGTACCTCTGGAATGGAGAAAGGTTGTTCTATGTATATTTTTTTTACAAACTTCCAATGGTCCATACATTGTCCAGAATAGGAATATTTGGCCTCAAAATAATGTTGATAATTATTTATGGGACAATTTTAGACTGATGTGTTGGGATCTGTCTGTCTCCCCCTCCTTTCAAAACATTGTCTCAAATCGCCTGGCACCAGATTTCACAACACTTTGACAGTAGTGTACATAGCTCATATACAACTTCAAGCAGCTTAAATATGAAGTCCTTTTGATGTCTCTTGCACACATCTGCAATACCTTCACTCATTATTCTTTCTAAAATTACAGAAAGTAATCATTACACTATTTTGCTATTACAATTGCACAATTCAAACCATTTGCTACTGAAATATCACTACATTACAGGATGTCATGGCTCAGCACAAGAAGAGATTGTAACCATTTAACTTCCTTATGCTTGTTGTTAGGGTCGTATGAGAACTGCTGTCTGAGGCATGTTACTGGCCTGAAGAAGAGCACCAAGAGGAACGTTGTACACTACAGGATACAGGAAACAGATGGAGGCTGCAACATCAAGGCCGTTGTGTGAGTGTGTTGCAACATGTCCTCACCTTCTGTAGGCCTACCCTTTAGCACAATTAAGTGTCCAAATAAAATCAAAGCCACACATAAATCAATCATTGTGACACTGGTATGAAAATGTCCTCAAGTTACATGTCAAGAGGACTTGTTGACAGAGAAATATTAAATATTTAGTTTTCCTTTTTTTCTCCTCATAGAATGTGAATCAATACTGGGTATGAGTGTCTAATCAATAAATACATATATATCTCCCACCATGTGTCTCATATCCATAGGTTCATACTGAAGAAAGGGAAGACTGTTTGTGCCAATCCCAGCCACAAATGGGTACAGCATCTGATGACTGTTGTCAATAAGGTACACTCTTATAACTACATTATTTTGTAAATTAATGTATGTTTGACAAGTTTCCAGTACCTAATTATGGCCTTTTTTTTCATCCATAGACTCCTGGGAATAGGGAATGAGGGGATGTAGTTGATCAGTTGCTTCGTTGGAGGATCTTTCAACCAGTGTATGCCAATTTCCAAAAATAGGACAGTCATATCATCCTGTAACTAGAATGTGAATTGTGAATCATTATATTGCTCATTATATTACAGTTTGGCTTGATGAGTTTATATTACATGCTTTTGGGAGGATACCTGAGATTCAATGGTTTAGATGGCTGTTAGCATGAGGTGCCTGCTAGTAATGAGCCACGGCAGCTTAGCATTATTGTGATTGGGGGTATTCACCGTCCTCGTGGGTACCGGAAATCCCCCAAAAGTCCCCACAAGGATAGTCAAATAAGAAACAGGGTTAGGGTTAAGGTTAAGGTTAGGGTTAGGGGTTAGGGAAAATAGGATTTTAAATGGAAAAAATGTTTAGGTGGGTTTGGGGCAGAATGCATGGAAAAGCTACAATGACTATTTTGTTAAACCTTGATACACTACATGAAAAAGTATGTGGATACCTGCTCGTCGAACATCTCATTCCAAAATCATGGGCATTAATATGGAGTTGGTCCCCCCTTTGCTGCTATAACAGCCTCCACTCTTCTGGGAAGGCTTTCCACTATATGTTGGAACCTTGCTGCAGGGACTTGCTTCAATTCAGCCACAAGAACAAATGTGAGGTCGGCACTGATGTTGGGCGATTAGGCCTGGCTCGCAGTCGACGTTCCAATTCATCCCAAAGGTGTTCAATGGGGTTGAGGTCAGGGCTCTGTGCAGGCCAGTCAAGTTCTTCCACAACGATCTCGACAAACCATATCTATATGGACCTCGCTTTGTGCAAGGGGGCATTGTCATGCTAAAACAGGAAAGGGCCTTCTGTAAACTGCTGCCACAAAGTTGGAAGCACAGAATCGTCTAGAATGTCATTGTATGCTGTAGTGTTAAGATTTCCCTTCACTAGACCTAAGGGGCCTAGCCCGAACCATGAACAACAGCCCCAGACCATTATTCCTCCTCCACCAAACTTTACAGTTGGCACTATGCATTGGGGCAGGTATCGTTCTCCTGGCGTCCGCCAAACCCAGATTCGTCCGTTGGACTGCCAGATGGTGAAGCGTGATTCATCACTCCAGAGAATGCATTTCCAGTTCTCCAGAGTCCAATGGTGGCGAGCTTTACACCACTCCAGCTGATGCTTGGCATTGCGCATGGTGATCTTATGCTTGTATTCGGCTGCTCAGCCATGGAAACCAATTTCATGAAGCTCCCAACAAACAGTTATTGTGCTGATTTTGCTTCCAGAGGCAGTTTGGAACTCGGTAGTGAGTGTTGCAACCGAAGACATACGATTTTTACGCGCTGTGCGCTTCAGCCCTTGGTGGTCCCGTTCTGTGAGCTTGTGTGGCCTACCACTTCTTGGCTGAGTTGTTGCTCCTAGACGTTTCCACTTCGCAATAACAGCACTTACAGTTGACCGGGGCAGCTCTAGCAGGGTAGAAATTTGACAAACTGACTTGTTGGAAAGGTGGCATCCTATGACGGTGCCATGTTGAAAGTCACTGAGCTCTTCAGTAAGGCCGTTCTACTGCCAATGTTTGTCTATGGAGATTGCATGGCTATGTGCTCGATTTTATACACCTGTCAGCAACGGGTGTGGCTGAAATAGCCGAATCCACTAATTTGAAGGGGTGTCCACAGACTTTTGCATATATAGTGTATTTTTCTATCAGTACTATATGTTAAAAACAATATTTGTATAACTTCACATTTGTAATAAAGCAAAAAATTATAACAAAATGTTTATTAGCCTCATACATATTCATGTATTTATCAATTCAGGATTTGTTCACCTGTCCATATCAATAATCTCCCCATAGATGTCTTCATACTCATACTTTTCATTTTTATGATTCTAAGGACACCTCATTGCACACTACCTGTGCTTTAACTCTTTATACACATTTCATTTGAAAAAGAAAACAGACAATTGCTTCACGCCTCAAATATTTTGCTCCTCTTATTGCCTTCGGCATTAACCTACTTGAGTTCTTTGAAGCTTAGTAGTTGTAATGCCACATACTTACCTAAAATGTGATATGATGGGCAGAGAATCAATCACAGTTTATACATGCTCATTCTTGCTCCAGTTTCCATTTTACAGTGAGTATGATGCTCCAGGAGAAATCTCTTAACTCCTCACCCTCAGTGTGACAGCAAGGCTCCAATACGCTGCAGGGGACTAGGTTCCCATGGGAAGATGAATGATTACACGGTGAGGCATAAATACAAATATGTCACATTTTGTTTGAAAGCATACAAGCTTCTTTCCCAGGACAGGGCAAATCAAATCAAAGTTTATTGGTTGCGTACACAGATTTGCAGATGTTATCGCAGGGTTTTCTAATGATCAATTTGCCTTTTAAAATGATAAACTTGGATTAGCAAACACAACGTGCCATTGGAACACAGGACTGATGGTTGCTGATAATGGGTCTCTGTACGCCTATGTAGATATTCCTTAAAAAATCAGCCATTTCCAGCTACAATAGCCATTTACAACATTAACAATGTCTACACTGTATTTCTGATCAATTTGATGTCATTTTAATGGACAAAAAAAATTGCTTTTCTTTTGAAAACAAGGACATTTCTAAGTGACCCCAAACTTTTGAACGGTAGTGTACATTCTCCATAAAGCATTCTGTAGCTAGCTAGCTTTATGGGGGGTAATCCACATAACCTAAAACCCAACAAAAATAACTTAATAGAACCTATATCCCACTCCTCACTTCAATCTTCCATATCTCCCTCCCCAGGCTCTGGGGCCTGAGAGGGTATCACTGCTCGTGACAGCGCCTCATGTAATTCCTTCCGTGAGAAATCTTTTAGTCCCAGGAACCGCTCTGCCGCATCCACAATAATGTCCATCTTCCTGGACTTCCCCTCCGCTTTAGCCGTGCCATTGATCACCATTGCCATAAAAATCACAAAGTCCAGCTTCTTTACACGTAACATCCCTGGATCCTGCTGGTGGGAAACCAACTCTGCAGCCTGCATTGAAGGCCTTCCCAACACCATTGAGTCCTCAAGAGTACCTTTCGTTCCCTCCACCCTTTTGACAGCCTCTGCATATGAAATCCTCTGGACAGCCCTGACTTTGGCAACCTCATTCTCTTTCGCCCTCGTCGGGCACTCCAAAGATGTAGTTTCATGCTTTCCACCACACTTCACAGCTTCTTCTTAGCATACACCATGACCTTCTTTTCCACAACTTCTACCAGTGGAGGCTGCTGAGGGGAGGACAGCTCATATTAATGGCCGGAATTGCACAAACGGAATGGCATCAAACACATGGAAACCATGGAAACCAACTGTTTGATGTAGCTGATACCATTCCACTGATTCCGCTCCAGCCAATAACACGAGCCAGTCCTCCACAATTAAGGTGCCACCAACCTCCTGTGACTTCTACATCTCGGATTTCTCCGCCTGCAGACAATCTCTACATGTCCGAACATTGTACACTGTTTACACTGCAACGGCCTGTAAATTAAAGCTCTTACAGGAAAGTCCACATACCCCAGCTTCACTCGGGTTGGGAGGGACTCCACATAAAAAAACACAAGAATAGACAAGATCTTCTCTCTCTTGCCATTGACCCCATCCTCTGAGCATCAACCACTCCAGGAATACTCTTCAGCTCCTCGATGCCCACTTCCTCCGAGACTCCAGCAATTACTCCCTTGACAGGTGCTCCTCTTCTTAGCTCAAAGCACGATACAGCATGGTCATCAATTTGCCTAATCCCCAACACACGCTTCCTCTGTTCAGCAGAAACACAAAAAATAAATATCAGCCCATTCCTCCTGACCCTCACCGACTCCACTTTACCCACACCTCTCTCCACCATCTTGGATACTTCCAACGGATTGACAATTCGGGCCCCAACTCTCCCATAAACCGGACTCCCACCAGATATGATGAGATACTCTCCACACTAGGCGTCTTCTTTCCCATCCCAACTTTGCTTATTTTCACGTTCTTTTGGACAGAGGTCCATTCTTCCTTACTTCCACCGCCATCCGATTCGTATATTCCACATCCGCCTCCGCCATCCTTCCTTCATCCGAATCTGTGCTCTCATCTTCTCCCAATGCGCTATCAAACGCCATTGTTCCTCCTCAGAAGCATTTAGCCCAGTGGTAACACACTGTAGCGCTAATCTGTTTTCTCGTTTTCAAATTCCAGCCCTTACCTTATGATACATTAATTCAGTACATCCTCCTCTGTCAATGCAATTTTCTTCATGCTATTTTAATCAAAATTTGCGCTGACTGATCAACAGGATCAAGTTACTTTTCAGTGTGTTCCCAACAATCTGAACCTAGTAAGCAAAATTACATTTATAATACTATTTTCCAGATGTTGAAGTTAGGTTAATTTTAGGTTCTGAATGAAAGATGAAAAGATTGGTTTTCAGGAAGTTTAAAATATGTATTTTCCAGATGTTGAAAATAAATAAAAATTCGGACGTTGAAAATACGTATTTTCAGGACGTTGAAATGAGGTTCATTTTCGGTTCTGAATGATTGTTGAAAATACTTTCTCTACTTTTTTGTACTGTACTGTAATGTACTGCACTCTGCTGTGCTCTACTGCAGTGGTTCTAAAACCTCTCCTCGGGGACCCCCAGATGTTTCACAATTTTGCTGTAGCTCTGAACTAGCTATTCAAGAGCTTGAGGATTAGCTGACAAATTGAATCAGGTGTGCTAGCTCTGGAATTAATCAATTACATGGAACGGCCTGGGGTCCCCACGGAGAGGTTTGAGAACGCTACTCTACTGTACTGTACTGTACTGTACTGTACTGTACTGTGCTGTCCAAACTTGTGAAACATAGATGCTTATGATTGGTTCAGATTTGGTCCAGTCCGGACAAATCTGAACCA